CTCAATATGTTGTTGAAAATGTAAAGAATATTATATGAATGTTATATTATGGAGATACAATATGAAAATATATACAAATCCTCTTATTGGAGTTCAAGATGGAGAAAAAGTCCCAAAATCCAGATAAAATCGCGATCAGGTTACTGTTACAGCGCCTGGGCGCTAGGTCTCGAGTAAACATTCAAAAACATGCTTTTTGCCATTCAAAAGTCCTTTTTCAAGCTAAACTCCTAATTATTATGGAAATTTGATTTTCATAATTTAGAACTCTTCAAACCCAAGTACCTTAAACTTTCTTCAATCAATCAAATACAAAATCACATGGAATTTGGATCACACCGCAACATCTTTGGATGCTTTACAATCGATTTTTAAAATGAATTTTTTCTTGATTAAATCATCTTGAAATTTTGAAATACATAAAACAATTGATAAAATTTCTTTTTTGATAGTTGAATAAATCTTTTGAGGACCAATCCAAACACCAAAATTCGGACCAATTGTTCTTGACTAGATTCTTCTAGAATTTGTTTGAGGACATCATCAAAACCAATGTCTGACGCATCGGTTTTAACAATAATTGATGCAGTTGGGTCTAATATTGGCAAACAATTAATGCTTTTGATAGCTTTTTTGACATTTTTGAACAACCATTGACACTGATCGAAATGGTTGCTTTCATCTACTTCAAGGCTTTGTTTTCCTCGACTTTACGCCTATGTCTAGATGGACCAACCCAAGTTTGATGCACTTACTTGGGTTTTCATTTTTCAATGTAACATTAAAATCGTATTTTGAATTTCAGATGAATCAACTAATAGATTAAACCACCTAATAGATTATTATCATGCTGCCTAATATCTCCATTCTTGTTTTAATTCTTGTTAAATGATTAAATTAGTTGGTTGAGTTCCTCATTGAACCTATCTATTTCTTTAGTTAACATTTCAATCAAATTGCCATTCTTGTTTTAGTTCTTGTTAAATGATTAAATTAGTCGGCTAAATTTCTCATTGAACCCCACAAGTCATCATTCTACTACTTTGACTTTCCATTTTGAACTCTTAACAAATTCTTATTATTGTTAAAATCATTTTAGTTTCTAATTTTTGACATATGGGTAATTAACCAATATATGGGGGGATTTTGTATCTTTTGATTTTACTTTTCATTTCTTGGAATATATTTTTTGCCTTAACAGATTATCAAATATTAACACTACATTATTAATCGACACAAAAAATTACAAAAATAAATTATTGTCCATTTTTTAAAACTATATACGTACAAGTAGAATATAATTTACCATTTTAGAGGAAAATAAAAAGGAAAACACGTCTTACTTCATTTTATGCATTTCTTCCTTTCACAATTATCTTCAATAACTTACTTTACAATATGTATTTGTATTCATTTGTTAATTCTTTGAAAACAAACAAGTCGACATAAATTGGATTTAAAAAAAAAAACTTGAAATTTTATAATTTAATTTATACTCTTGGGTTTAAGATAGTGCTATTTCTTTGATTTTGGCACCACTCTCCACATTTTTTATTTCTTTTTTCATGCATTTAGACTACACACGCACTACAACGAAAATAGTCATTAGCAACATTAAAAATGTAACATTTAACATTAAAAAAACAACATTTTAGTAAGTGAACGTTGCCATTGGTTAACATAAATAAGTTTTGGCAACGTTTTTTAGAAAAATGTTGCGGTAGGCACCTTTAGCAACGTTTATTGAGTGTTGCGTAATGTTTTACCTTTAGCAACGTTTATTGAACATTGCGAAATGTAAGACTTTTCACAACGTTTGATTCAAACGTTGCTAAAAGTGAGACTTTAGCAACGTTTGATAAACGTTGCTAAACAAACGTTGCAAATAATATTCTGGCCCATTTAAATGAATCAATCACATTCCATAATAAATTATATATGCAACCAAAAAATAGAATTAATCTGCTCTACCAAGCCTGTAAAAGGCCTGGTAGAGCAAAAGCTCGCACATGAGGTGGGTCCTCATTAAACACCCCATCCCCCACCTCACATTTGCACTGCCAGGCCTTTTACAGGGCTGTCAGTGTAGCAAGGTTCCAAAAAATAACCCTAATACTAACCTACTTCACGCCTCCCTCATTCCTCTCCCTCTTTCTACCTTTTTCTTCCACATCTGTTTTAACCTACTCTTTATCGCCTTTGAATCCGTTTTCCGCCACCATCCGGCCACCAAAACCGCCGGACATTGGTCCCAACGGATTGCCCTTAACATCTTCTACAATTTCCACCCAACATCTCCCAAAATCATCCAGTAAGTTGCGAGAGAATGGACGGTGGAGATTCATCTGAAAAAGGGACAGTGACGTGTGCGACGTGGATCAGACAGCTGAAAAACGCGCACTTGGTGGTTCTGGGAAAATCGAGTCCGTCGTCACTCGAGATCTTCTCCTTCGACCCCAAGACCACTTCTCTCCCCCCCTCTCCCAAGGTTTATTGTCTATTCGATCAATTTATTTATATTAGTGCTAATTTTTAGTATTTGATGTTGGAAATAACCTTTTTGGCATAAACTGGATATTTCTAATTTGATAGCTTTCAAGATTTTTTATATTTAATATATGACCACTATTTGTAATTATTTTGGATATTTGAAGAATTATTCCGTAGAAAATAATTTAGGTTAGTTTAATAAGAATTTGTTGCTTTGATGTGTATATGCAGGTCAAGTTTGAATTTGAAGAAGGGGTTAATCCAGTGACCATTGCGGTGCATCCAAGTGGAGACGATGTGGTTTGTTCCACTAGCACTAGTGGCTGTACGTAAGTATTCTGTTTTACTCAACTTTTTATGCCGAAAAAATGGCTGTCTTTGCAAGTAGTTTTGACTTCTGAGAGCTTAAGAAAGTAATAGTTTATAAGTAATGCACGTGATCGAGTAGGCTAAATTGTAATTAAAGCCAGAAGAAAGAGTTCAATATGGTCAGGGCCTCTTAAGAAGTTTTACTTTTTTATCCTATGTTATACAAATGGGATTTGCCTTTTTACAGCTCTGGACTGTTGATGTTTTATTATGTTTTGAAAAATTGAAGTTATGATTGTTCCGATGGACTTCATAATTAGATATTTGTGTAGAATAGTATATGAATATATATGATGGTCATTTTTTAATTTAAAAATGTGATTCCTTAACTCTGGCAATTTTGGAAAATTTCCACTTGTTTAGAAGCTTGAGCTGAACTGAAATACTTATTTAAGTGGGAAAAAAAGATGCCATTTCTCTTCTCAATCTATTATTTTCATTTTTATTCCTATTCTAGTTACTCTTTCTAGGTTCTTTCTCTGTTCATTCAGGGGTATATTCATATATACTAAATTTAGTTGTTTGGATTGTATGGAAATGGGTGATTAATAAGTTTACACTCTAAAGCTTGACATATACTGGTATTTATAATTATATTAATATGTCATATACGTACAGATATTGATATATTGGTTTCTGCAGGTGGTGAAACGATCAGGCTTTACGGTGGATAGTTCTTTTGCTGATTCCCAGACAGCAGTTGGAAGCAAACAATCTGTTAGAGATAGGCTGGGAAGTAATGTAGATTTATCTCTCCAAGTCAACAAGCGGTACATATTTTTGGTTTCTTTATAATCTTATAGTTGTTATGAAGTTGTTCTGAGTATTGGCTACTTGTCTAGTTTCAGGGGTTCAGCTTACCCTTTCCTTTTTTTTCTTTCCTAAATATTCATCTCACAAATAAGTATAACTATAAGTCCTGAACTATAGTTGCTGCTAAAGTTATTCTGATTCCATACAAGATTAGACACTATTCATTAGTTCTAATATTGAAGACAGGTTAAATTATGTACCGTCTAGAAAGAAGTTAAACTGGTTAGATTGTATTCTAGAAGTTGTATATTTATGGAGTCTGTCCTATGTTCCTCAGAGTGAGGGGAAATGGAAGTTCTGCTAATGGTGTGGACGGTAATAGTCTCGTCTCGAATCCTTGAAGTTTTATGTAATTTAAAAATTAAGTCTTCAACTAGCTTATCCAGAACGAAGGTATAGTAGACAATTTTGACTTCTTTTGTCCTGGTATTGATGATTTTAGTGGCCATACCATAGATTTTAGAATCGTTGTCAGGCTACAAGGAACAATAAAATTTGAGATGTATTTGAATTGCTCAATGTTCTTGAATTTTCATTTGCTTTTTCGAAAATGAGCCGACTGATTGTGGTTCTTTTTACATGCAATTCCCTAGATATTGAGAAAGGATTCGTAAGAATTTTTGTGAGTTGCACTAGATCGCTGGCAATTATCCTTGATAATAAAATTTTTTTTCACAACAGGACTTATAGCAGCGGCATGTGGCCAGCTGGATACTCTTTTGAAGAAAGGTGCGACAAAGACATGCAGAATGAGCAATGGCAACTCGGCAATAAAAGCACACCTATATGAGAATCCAACTAAGCTAGCTAATGGCTCTATGCCATTTACTGCAATGGGAATGGTTTACATGTTTGAATGATGAGTAGCTTGTGGAGGTCTATCGAAACATATCTTATGTCCTCCTTTTGTGGGTGTGATTTAACAATTTTGCTCCTAAAATTTCTTCGTGCATAGAGATACTAGTTTGATAGGAGTTAAAAGTACATATCCTAGATGTATCCAAGAAGTTCAAGCATTAAAGTACATATTCTTGATGTATTACATTTTAATGTTCAANATTGCTAAAAAAAAAAAAAAAAAACCTACGGCAACGTTTTTTAAACATTGCGAAAGGGGTCTTTGGCAACGTTTAAAAAATGTTGTCAAAGACCCCTTTCGCAACGTTTAGAAAATGTTGCCAAAGAACTCCTTTCGCAACGTTTTCTAAATGTTGTGAAAGGTATTTGGCAACGTTGCCAATGGCCTTAAAAAATTCTACCTTAGGTCTTTGGTAACGTTTAAAAAATGTTACCGTATCTTTCTACTTTACAACAATACCTCAATTTACAACACGCGTCCGAACGTTGCAAACTCTCTAATAAAAGATGATTGAATAAAATTATTATGGTTCCAACTATTAAAAGTTGCTAAAATGCAATCAATTAAGTGATTTCACTTGCATAATATTATAAGAAGAACACAATGTGAATCCATTTTGTAAATCATGCATGACGAAACTATTCCAAATTCTATTATTAAAAGATAATATGAAAAAAGAACAAATGAAATGCTAATTAGTTTAATAATCAGACGATACAAGACTTTAATCAAAATAATTACCAACGCATGTAACTGAACATCAAATTAATTTAAAAG